GTTTTCTCCAAACTGAACTGGGATCAGGTGATTTCTCTGTTTCCATGTGTTCTGTACATGTTGACCTTCTGGATTTAAAGTGTAATCCCTTAATGTTTGCACTTTTACTCCTCGATGTATTTAGTCGTTTACTCTGAGAATATATTTTTTACATTTTTATTTTATATACTCTGTCGTGGGGGATTTCCTCTCGTGGGGCTTGAACCTCCGACCTCCTGATCAGTTGCCCAAAACCTCAACACTGAGCGACTACTACCCCTGAATTAGAGGCTATTGTTTGATCTGCCCTACTGTGGGGTGAAAACATTCACATTTCAGGGATGCAAGGTCTTGTTCAGATATTTGACAGCGTAGCTGGAATCAGCATTGGTCCATGTCATCCGGTTTCTTTCAGCTACTAACCAGATGTACAGGACTGTCTCTAAGGATTGTTTCTGTGTGTGGCTCCGCCCCTCCAGGTGAACGGCAGGAACCTGCTGTCTGTCGACTACGACCGTACGCTGCGAACAGAGAAGATTTACGACGACCACAGGAAGTTCCTGCTGAAGATCATCTACGACACTCAAGGCCATCCAACGCTTTGGGTTCCGAGCAGCAAGCTGCTGTCGGTTAACCTGACGTACTCCAGGTGAGCATCTGTTCCTGTAGGGACTCCTCAGTCTTCTGCACTCAGGATGCTGTGACACATGGGCTCATGACTAGATAGGTGTTGGAACACTTTAACCCTCTAAACCTCAAAAGAGTTAAAGAACTTTATGTTGGAGTGAAGAGAAAGCACAAAATACACAGATGCTGCTTGTGGTTCAGACGGTTATTTACAGTTAATTAATTAATTAAGGTTAGAGGCAATGTTAGGTTGATGTAATATGTGTGTGTGTGTGTGTGTGTGTGTGTGTGTGTGTGTGTGTCCAGTACGGGGCAGGTGACGGGCCTCCAGAGGGGTCCGACCACGGAGAGGTGGGAGTACGACAGCCAGGGAAGAATCATCTTACGAGTCTTCGCTGATGGGAAGACGTGGAGCTACACTTACCTGGATAAGGTACCGGACGACACCATGAAAGCCACACGCACACACACACACTTCTACACACACCTACACACACACACAGGCATCACGATGCACGACCTAAACACCATACATTACTGTGTGAGCATCACATTCATGCACAATGAAACCAGCTTTCACACACGCTTACAAACTCTATCTGCTGTCATAAAGATGCTGCTCAACTCTGCAGAGATGTGACAGAAAAAAGAGAAACGCTGTGTTTATACACACTCCACACACACACACACACACTCCACACACACACACACACACACAAAGCAAGGTTACTGTGTTTGCCATAAATTCCGGTCAAACAAAGCAAGCAACACTAATTGAAGCGTCTCCCCCGTGGAAACTACTGTCAGAAAGTTAGCGAGGAAAGCAACCAGCCACAAAGACCTCCCTCACAGAGAGCTCACCTCCTCAAGAAGAGGAGGAGAAATGGCTTGTCATAGTTAATAAGGTCCCTGGTCTCGTGAGGAGGAAAAGAGAGAAGAGTTAAAAGGAGCACCTCCTACTTAGAGGAGTAGTAAAATATGCCTCTCGTTTCCTTTTCAAGAGCTCCAGAAGGTCATCGTTTGTGTCGCTCGGATTTCAGCTCTTTCACTAAATTTTAATTTAAATACAACAAATAAAAACTCACTAACGGGTTAGAAAGGTTATGTTATGTTTAAAGAATCAATAAAATGACACCATTCATCAGAGACAGAAAAACAGAAAGAATCGGTCGTGTTGATCGTCTGTGACGTGACGCCGTCGGAAAACTTTGACATTTCATCCAAATAATTTCTTTCTACATGTCTCGTTTAAAATTTCTTAAAAATCTAAAGCGCTTGCTGTAATTAAATTTGGTTAAAAAAATAAATAAAATTCTGAGCTTGCTGTCTCACAAAAAGTCAAAGAGTCGCATTACACAGAAAATACTTACAAAGAGTGACTGAAGGAAGAAAAGCAAAGCAGCAGGAACTTCTTAAAAAGTCAAAAGAAAGCTGCTGTTGTCTCTGAAGAAGAGGATGAGATGTAAAGAAAGGAGGCATAACTTAGTGAAAAGGGGAAAGAGACAAGGAGTCGCTTAAAAAAACAAGCCTCCTAACGAGGACAAGAGAGAGGATTCCCTGTAGTACGCTAGCTGAGGCGTAAAAAACAAGCAGTGTGAGGAGGACAAGGAAGAGGAGACAGCGAGGATAAATCAGACACTTTTTTGTTTGTTAGCTCAGGAAGACGGAGGAGGAGACAGACAGAGTCTGACACTAAACAGCAACGGGCCTCGTTTGTGCGTGTCGAAAGACAGATATGATAGAGAGAGATGGAGGAAGAGACACAGGCAGGGATATCCACAGGAGTCTGCGAAGACAGAGGTACTACTGTGGAAACAAGGCCCAGGGGATGCTGGGAGCTTAGTTAAAGGATGTTAGACGGAGTGGAAGAGATTGAGACAGAGAGAGAAATAACAGCAACTGTGGATGACGAGAGTCACGAATTATAGCGAGGCAGCAGAGGTGGAAGAGGACGAGAGGCAGGAGGCAGCAAAGTTCAGAAAGCACATTTATATTTAGCACGTTGTTGTTTGAATGCATTTCAGAACCAGGATAAAAGATATCCAATTACCAAATGAGTGCACACGTGAGAATTTTATAGTTCAGAACCTGGTTGAGGAGGAACCTCATGTTACTGGAGCTGATCTCACTGGGTTACAAGCAATACTTTATGAAGGTGTCCAGGATTTTCTAACTGATTTAGAACATTTCTGCAGCGCTGAATCCAAACATGACGTCTGCTTTTCTGCATCAGGTCGGGTTTTTATGCCAACTGGATTTAAAAACATCGATTTTACCACTAAATCAATCACATGTGTTGACATTAGTGATTGATTTATTTTAGCATTTCTCACATGAAATCGGATTTTAGAGGAAATATTTTATTTTCTAACCCTTTCCATGAGCTAAATGATCCACAAGTTGATGAGTGTCAACATCTGTAAAGGTAAATACAAGTAAACTGCATGTGGCGACAAATCAAAATTTTGACCTCATTGAGCAGAACCAGAGTAATGTCTGGATCCAGCTCAGTGCAGCTGTCCAGAATCAGCTCAGAACACTCTGACACCAACATGGATGTAGACCAGTGCTATTGTTTTTTGTTTTAGAGTCGACAGCCAGCCACAGACCCAGTAGAGCAGTCACATTATGTCGACTACGTAGCACATCTGACCAATAATTTATCAGCTACCGTGTTTGGAGACGTGTGAACATCACACACAGAGCAGACGTCCGTATTATTATTATTATTATCCAGATTAAACATTTAATTTTTTATTTATTTTCAACAGACATGTTAATCTCAGATATAATTGTGTGTTTGTTCGGCTTCGGAGGAAATTTAAACTTTGTGCGAGGAGGTTTATAGTTTGCAGGCAAAAAAAAACAGACAATGTGGGGAAACTATATTTATACGCGTCATTGTGCTATTGTATGTTATATATTGCTGGGTTATTTTTTTCAGTGACAGTTTTGAAAGAATGGAAGCGAGACCCCAGTCAACAATGAATAAAACAGGAGAACCTGACAAAGGGAGAAGGGTCCAAAGTTAGGGAGATGAAAAAGGAGGGAAGGAAGCTACAAAACAGGGCATGTGAGGAAGAGACAAATAAAAAGATGAGAGATGATTCCCCGAGTAGAGAAACGAGCCACATTCTCCTGCTCGCGCCCGTTGTCACCTTCCCATGCACTTGTTTTTCATTCACTTCCTTGCGCCATCTGTCACTTTCTGCCCCTGCTGGAAATACTTACGGGGAGCCTCATTGGAAAACATGGTGTCAAAAAGCAGAATTCATCATGCACAGCGGCACAGTTACGGCGTCATAACTGTGTCTGTGTGGAGGCGACGTACTGTAATTCATACTGAAAACCGTGAGCGCAGTTAAGTAGGAAATATGCCTTCCCCCAAGATTACTGGAGGTCGTGTGATTACAGTCTTTCGTCTCTTTAATCATTTTCAGTCCAATAAATACGAAGCTAAAAACCATGAAAGAACAAACATTCAACAGTCAGTGAAATAAACCATTTACTGTTTTTAACTTTAGACAAACAACATTCTGTTAGAATTAAAGTTGACTTTAAGCTGCATGTAATGGCCGGGAAAAGTAAAGTCAGTGAAGTTTAAAGCACAAGTTCATAAAAGTACAAAACAGCACACCAGAACTTTCTCAGGAGTCCGTTCAGCAGGTCAGAAGAATCACATGCTTCTCCAGTTAGATGTCAAGTTCAAATCTTTGCTTCCTGCCTGAGGCGAGAAGCAAACAAGCGGGAGAGGATGCTGTTTTGTGTTGCTCAGAATAAAAGCACTGCTGTTCCTGTTCATGGATTAGGTCTGTACTGTCCTCATGTTTCAAATTATGATCCACTGCTAGGGCTGCAGGTGGCTCAGTGGTTAGCACCATGGCCTCACAGCTAGAAGGTCGCCGGTTGGCGTCCCGGTGAGGACACCTGGGATCTTTCTGCGTGGAGTCTCCATGTTCTCCCCGTGCAGCGTGGGTTCTCTCCGGGTTCTCCGGCTTCCTCCCACAGTCCACAAACATGCTGAGGTTAATTGGTGATTGTAAATTGTCCGTAGGTGTGAATGTGAGTGTGCTTGGTTGTCTGTCTCTAAGTGTAGCCCTGTGATAGACTGGTTACCTGTCCAGGTGAACCTGCCTTCACCCTGAGTCAGCTGGGATAGACTCCAGTGACCCTAGTGAGGATAAAGCGGTGTATAGATAATCGATGGATGGATCCACTGCTAGTCACAGTGCAGGAGGATCTCAGAGGATCTGTGATGACTTTGTCTTTGTCCAGCTTCACATCAAACAGGCAGAAACCCACCTGAGCTAAAAACATACATGTTGGTCTCATCCCAGAATTCATCATCAGGCTTCTTTTCATGGCCTTTAGCAAAGTTTTGCAGTTTTGTGTCAAACAGCAAAAGAAGTAATTTGCCCGTAGTGGTTGATAGTTTGCGTGTTCCTTTTCCCTGTCTGAGCTGTCACAGGAACTCTATTCATTCATGACCAGCGTGCCACATGTGAAGCACTCACCTGTGTGTGAGAGCCACATTATGCAAACTGTCTTTGACATCATTAGGAGCACAATCACTGCAGCTCTGATTAGTGGTATTGTGACTTGTTCTATGCTCCTGATTGCTGCTCTAGCTGTGTTTGGACAGATCTCTAGTTGTTAACCAATCTTCTTGCTTTCCTTTCAATCCTTGTAAAGTCTCACAATCAGATTTTTTTAATTGCTCTCGTAATGCTTTTCCACATTGAGCCGCGATGCAGACACGTCAATGCACAGAAAGTTCTGGTGTTCACAGCCCGGTTCATAACCATGCTCATGCAGGTAGGCTGATGGGAAACCACAGGTGCATTCACTGTCGTTCAGGTACGACTTTGAGGCCTACGTTTTTAATATAGTCGATCTGAAGAACTTGATTTGATTGTTAATAAGAGGAAACACTAAGGAAATAAATAATGTGCTCCAGCATCCTAATCCCTAAACTCCACTCACTGTAATTCTTGGTAGAAACACCTTCAATCTTATATCATGTTATCATTTCTGGACATTTAATGTTGCTAACCTGTATGGATGGGGATGCTGGGAGGCTGTGGCAGCAGGTTTAGCACGAGCAGGGCGAGGAGGGAGCTCAGAGTAGAGCCACTGCTGAGGTGGTTCAGGCTTCTAGTTCGGAGGCCTCCTGTTCACCTTCCTTTCGAGGTGTTCCAGGCAAGTCTAGCTGGGACGAGACCCCAGGGACCCCAGGCCAGACTGGCTGGGGAACACCTTGGGATCCCCCAGCAGGAACTGGAAAGTCTTAACCTGCTGCCACGACAACCCAACCATGGATGGATGATTCCACCAGGGAGCATCATCTATAGCATCTTTCTGTTTTTATGCTGCTGTTTCCGACCCTGGTACCCACACGGAGCTTCTAGCATCAGGAGTCTGAGGAAAGACTTGACTTGTGCGCCGAGTCTTGGCTCCATTTTCAGGCTTCAGAAAATCTAGCCCATGATTTCAGCCAATCACAGGGCTTTTCACTGATCAAATCAGAAAGCATAAATGGGAACAAAGGTTGGATGGAGGAGCTTTAGTTTGGATGTCGGGGTTTGACTCCCACATGAAACCACAGTGGAATGTAGATTTTTTTAAAGCTGAAACTACAGACCCGTGTGATGTGAGGGCCTTGGAACAGAAAGGAAAAGCTGCAGGAGGAGGGCTGTGTGTTTTCAAAACCTGACATTGTACAGTTGTCTTATAAATATTTCAAAAAGTATAATCTATCTAGACACAGACTACTCTACATGCCCTCATCTCATCGTAGCTGGATTACTGCTGCAGCCTTTGACCTGCCTGAACAAAAACATCTATTGACCAGCTTCAGACTTTACATGACTCAGCTGTCGGGTTTTTAACTTGAGCCAGGAGACACAATCCTGATCACATCAGTTTGGTTTCATTCTCTTTGCTCTGGCTGGCAGTATGCCGTAGATTTCCCTGATTACATTCAAGGCCCTTGATATTTCTACCTCTTAGTCAGAGATATAGTATTATTAATACTATTATTTGTAATACTGGTACATTGGTACACTTTGAGATCCTTGGGTCCTTTGCCGGTTCCAGGGGCCTGGCTGAAAACTAAAGGAGCATTTGGAGTTAGAGGCCCGGGGCTCTGGAAGGATCTGCCCGAGGACATCAGCTCCGTAGAGCCAAACATCTCTTTTATGTCCCTTCTTAAAATATGCTTCGTCTTTCTTTAATCAGAGAGCCTTTCCTTTGTTTCTTTAAAAAGTCTTTCTACCTTAAAAACCTGTATTGTCCCTGGTATACTGTAAATATATATATAGTCTCAGTTGTGTTTAAATCTGTCTTTAAATCTGTTTTATGACTTGTCCGTTTTGTTTTGCTTTTCATGTGTAACTGGGAGATGAAAAAGTACTCTAAAACAATTATATTCTTACCAGTCCACTGGTAGCCAAGCAGCTCATCATGAGCCAGTCATGGTAAAGCGTGATTGGACTGGAGGATGCCAGTGTTACTGCTGTGCTTCAGGCCAGCAAAGAAGGGTTCAGGGCCCCGCCGCTAAACAAAGGGGCAGTACCATTAAAATAAACAGTGAAATCCTTCAAATTGATTTTTTTTTTCCAGCAGTGGAAACAGTGCAGGAAGACCAGAGCCCTGGTAACAGTGATGGATCTGGATCTTATAAACCACACATTGCATATGCCGTAGCTAAATCGGTGCTATTGGTTGGCTCACATTGTCCCCTGGGCGCTTCAAAAAAACTCTTATTTAAAATGCAACGTGAACTGTGCAGGGGGTCCAATGGGGCACAACCCCACCAGATGGTGCAAAAATATGAAGGTATTTTTATAATGAAAGCTTGATTAAAGGATGTACTGCCAGCTGCACTTGATTGATTATTCATAATGTGGATTGATGTGGATTTAGTGTGTCACGCGGTGTCGTAACATCGACAGTTCACAACATGAACACCGAAGAACGTGCATCCAGTACAGCAACCGATGTGGTTAACCATCTATTAGCCTCTCACTGTAGCCACTGTACTGCTTCCCTCGTGTGATACAGCGAGTGAATATGCATCTCATTGCACCTCTTCTCCTTTCTCCTGCTCTCTCTCCAACAGTCCATGGTCTTGCTGCTGCACAGCCAGCACCAGTACATCTTCGACTACGACTCAGGGGACCGTCTGTCAGCGGTCACCATGCCCAGCGTGGCTCGACACACCATGCAAACCATCAGGTCCATCGGCTACTACAGGAACATCTACACGCCGCCGGAAAGCAATGCCTCTGTCACCGTGGACTACTCTGAGGACGGACAGGTGGGATGTCGTTGTTCTTTCAGGCCACATAAGACACACTGGACATGGTTTATTTTAGGAGGACCCATTACGGTCATTTCTGACGGGCTGGCTTCCAGCTATAATGAATCTTTGGTGTCATGGTTCAGCTACAATGACGGTAAAGCTAATCATGTCATCATTTCTCCCTCCAGCTCCTCAGAGTCGCCCATCTCGGCACTGGCAGACGTATCCTGTACAAATATCGCAGACAGGTATTTTATTTCATGTCTTTTTTATAATTCCACCATTACCTGTATGTATATTTATATCAGTATTTCTGTATTGGCTTATTTTTTATATATATATTTGTACTTTATTTTGGCCATATCTTCCTTTCCTTTGATATAAAAATGTAAATTGGTAATGATTATTTTCAATCCAGCCAACTCACTTATGAATAGCCACATGTAAAAACATTTTTCCCAGCATCCTTAGCGGAATAATCACATATCTGGAGAGTAGATGGAAAGAAAATTCATTTTCGCTTCAAGGTTCTATTTTTTGTAATTGCAAGCCAAAGCAGGGAGAAATCAATACGACCCACTCTTGGGAAATCATAAAGGAATATAGTCGGATAGACCCCAGGGTGGTGCTGATGCATGATGTACATAAGTGGCAGCTGCAGCCATGAACAGGGACTCTGACAGCTTGGATAGACCACTCAAGAATTGATGGCAGTCATTATCTAATGCTGTAGCTGATCCCTAATAAATTGGATTTCGTATTCCGCCAGGTTCATTACTGTAAACACATATGGCATTGTTGTATTTGTCTCACCAGAACAAGCTGGCAGAGATCCTGTATGACTCGACGCGGGTCAGCTTCACATATGACGAGACTGCTGGTGTGCTTAAGACCGTCAACCTGCAGAGCGAAGGCTTCATCTGCTCCATCCGGTACCGCCAAATCGGTCCTCTGGTCGACCGGCAAATATTCCGCTTCAGCGAGGACGGGATGGTGAACGCGCGCTTCGACTACACCTACGACAACAGCTTCAGAGTCACCAGCATGCAGGCCGTAATCAACGAGACGCCGCTGCCCATCGATCTCTATCAGTTCGATGACATCTCTGGGAAAGTGGAGCAGTTTGGGAAGTTTGGAGTCATCTATTATGACATCAATCAGGTGAGACAGGATTGGCTGGAATGGATTAGTGATGATAAAATGTCACCTATAATGTTGTCTCACCGTGCATGAATGAAGTAAATAATGTAGATCATCACGGTACAACAGTGGCATGTGAAGGACCGACATGTCGGGCAGGAGGGGTGACAACCTTTGGTTCAACACTGAAGGTTTACAAGAATAAATAATCTGTTGGTAGATGTGTTTGGCATCACCCACAGGCCTCCACTTTGCATCTAGACTTACTCTTTGAGATAGAAGATAGATGTCTAGCACATTACTGGTGGTATGACAGGCTGATGTAGCAGCAGACAGCCTTCTGTCAGCAGGGTAATGGACAAATCACCAGGTTTACTGCTGTAGCATCATGAATTTCTCAAATGCAGCTGGTTGTTGGTGTGTTTGTGCCCACAAAGCAGGACATGAAGACCTCCCTGAATAGCAGGCTTTTGGTGATGTACAGTCTCTCCAGGCTGATCAACAGGGCGTTTGGTCACTGCAGGAATTATGTGGTTGATTTTGGGAATGTGTCTGCCCCCCGTCTCAGATCATCTCCACAGCGGTGATGACCTACACCAAACACTTCGACCAGCACGGCCGCATCAAGGAGATCCAGTACGAGATCTTCAGGTCTCTGATGTACTGGATCACCATTCAGTACGACAACATGGGCCGAGTCACCAAGCGGGAGATCAAGATCGGACCGTTTGCCAACACCACCAAATATGGCTACGAGTATGACGTCGATGGACAGCTGCAGACGGTCTCCCTCAACGAGAAGATGATGTGGAGGTGTGGCTTCTGTCAGTCTGATGATTCAGTCCTATCCGTTGATCGTGTCAGATGTTGATATTATCATGTTCTGGAATTCCAGGTACAATTATGACCTCAACGGTAACCTGCATCTGCTGAACCCCGGGAACAGCGGCCGGTTGACTCCTCTACGCTACGATCTGAGGGACAGGATCACTCGTCTGGGAGATGTTCAGTACAGGCTGGATGAAGATGGTTTCCTGAGACAGAGAGGAGCTGAGATATTCGAATATAACTCCAAAGGTGGGAACTGATCTTGTGTTGGCCCATCGTAGCAGCATAAAGGCCCATTCACACCCAAAGGTGGCAGAGCAGAGTTCATCTGTTCATACGTAGAACCGTTTATGTGGTTCCCGTTAAAGAGGAGTTTGCTCTGTTGCTTCCCACTGTCACTGACCGCATGCTCAGAGGGAGTCCAAAGGCAACTTTGAATTGTTGGGTTCTCTGTTAAATGTCTGTAAAGACTCTCAGTCCTCCAGGTCGTGGTTGTTCTCGTAGTTTAATCATAGCAACTGGACCTGCTTGAGTTCCTTGAAGACGTTTCACCTCTAATGTGGTTTCATCATGAAGTCACATCCACACCTAACCATAAAAGACCTTAACGAACCCCACTGTGGCAGGGGGAGCACTAACGACTCGCTCCCGACTCGGTGGCGGAAAATAACCGCTGTCCTTCGCCCGTGTTCCTGTACGTGGAGCGGTATCTGGGCCTGGACCAGAGACGACGCCAACACAGTCCTGAGGGCGTCCACGCTGTTTCCAAATGTAAACACAGGTCGCAGATGTGATGTAAAGAACAGATTTTCTCACAGGCAGTGACGTTTTAAACCTAAAACCCCGATTGTTGACGTCCACATACAGACGCACAAACGGAGGATTCACAGATCTTCACTTTGGTCGGAGGTTTTTAATGCCATAAATCTGTGTTTTCGTGTGGATGACAGGCCACATCGTAGAAACATATCTTCGTTTTGTGAGCTACCTGCTACGTGTGGACAAGGCCTGAGAAAGTCTGAAGTTTTCACACGTTTTTGCTCTGACATCTAACCTGCTGCCACGGTCTTCTCATTTTATCACATCCTTATTCTTCCTCTTTATCATCATCTATTCAGGTCTTCTAGTTCGTGTTTACAGCAAAGCAGCCAGCTGGACCATCCAGTATCGATACGATGGCTTGGGTCGGCGTGTGGCGTCTAGAAACAGTCTGGGCCAACACCTGCAGTTCTTCTACGCCGACCTGAACTACCCCACCAGGATCACCCACGTCTATAACCACTCCAGCTCCGAGATCACGTCGTTTTACTACGATTTGCAGGTAGCAGCTCTCTAAAAGTCACTCCAAGGTTCGGATATGTATCTTCAGCAAGAGACGGGACAAACACTCAGTGCTGTTTATTAGTCAGATTAGGATTTTGCTCTCAACTTTTGATTTATGACAGTCTGTGCGGAGCAGGTTTCCCTCCAGTGACCATAGGGAAAACATGGTGAATGTTCAGCATCTCAATTAGAGAGGAGGGGATGGTTTCCTCTGTAGCAGCCTCACTATATCACATAAAAATATCTGCTGCTTCATCCCAAGTAAGGGACTCTGTAGCTATTTTATTGTGATTAATGCAGTTAATAAATCTGCAGCAGCACAACACAGAAAAATTAAAAACTTATAGTTGCACCCTTATTTATTTCTCTTCTGCAGTTATTTGTGGAGTAGCAACAGTAAAAATCTGCTTCATCAATGTTAGATTCATAATGTGTGTTACTGCGCAGGGCCACGTGTTCGCGATGGAGATCAGCAGCGGGGAGGAGTTCTACATCGCATGTGATAACACCGGGACGCCACTGGCTGTGTTCAGCAACAACGGACTGCTGCTCAAACAGGTGTGTGTGGGGCTCACCTGAGTAATCTGTTCTACTGGTGACGTTGTTTGTATCTCACACCATAAATGTGTGTGTTTGTGTGCAGGTGCAATACACAGCGTACGGCGAGGTTTACTTTGATTCCAACCCAGATTTTGTGCTGGTAATTGGTTTCCATGGAGGCCTGTATGATCCCCTGACACGACTGCTGCACTTCGGAGACAGAGATTACGACATCCCTGCGGGGAGGTAGGCAGTCGTATAAGCTTGACATGTGATTATATAGAACAGATTCCAGCTTTGCGAGTGTCCCGTCTGACCAGAGTGTGTTTGTTCCGAAGGTGGACCACGCCTGACATCAGCACATGGACACGTGTCGGCAAAGACCCTCAGCCCTTCAACCTCTACATGTTCCGCGGCAACAACCCCATCAGCAAGATCCATCAGGTCAAAGAATACGTAACAGGTAACAAGAAACCGCTGACGGTGTTCAAACACCGAGGGGGGAGATAGCGGCGCTTAGGCCTAGATGATCCATCTGAAGAAACTGAAGCAGGAGCTTTCAAAATCAAAATGTTGTAATCCAGCACCCCTTCTTTTCAATCCTATTCAACCAGCGACCTTCTAGCTGCGAGGCAACGGTGCTAACCACTGAGCCATACAACACAAAGACATCCAAACGTACAAATCCACAGTCGCTGTTACGACTTTGCTTAGATGGTTCCTCCACAGGTGCACATCATCAGATTGAACTTCTTTGGTTACTGTCCATCTCACATCTCCATCCGCTGCTCTCTCTCTCTCTGCAGATGTCAACATCTGGTTGGTCACGTTTGGCTTTCACCTCCACAATGCAATCCCAGGATTCCCCATTCCCAAGTTCGACCTGACGCAGCCGTCGCTGGAGATGAAAAAGAGCCAGCTGTGGGACGACCTGCCTGTATGTATTCTCCTCCATAAACAGGTCGACAGAGTTAGAAATGACGACTTTGGCATCTCAAATAAAGGGTGATTCCACGGTTTACCACATGGAGGAGCGATTGATGCTGTGCTGCTCAGACCTTCGAGGATTGTTGGGCTTTTTGCAAACACCCCGATCAGAAACGTGACAGCAAGTGTGTTGGTATTAACTGGTACAGCATCATGTCAAGGCTACTTATTTGATTTAGGAGTTGAAAAGTCTAACTGTGAGGCTTCACAAAGATGGAAAATGATGCAGGAAGTTGGTGAGCAGCTAAAAATCAGTAGAAATATAGTTATCAGGAGGTGTAGCATGAGGCATAGTAGCACTAATCAGACCTGCAGTCATTCTCCTAAAATGACACCACACCATTTGGTATAGGGTAATTATAGGACATCAGAGTTTCTCTTGACCGCTCAGACAGTGTAAAGGACAACACATATGGTCAGTGTCCATGGACAGCATCCACAAAATAAAAAAGAAAACATCGCTTGCTGGTCACAACAAAAACAACAAGGTGCAGCTATGCTAAGAACCGTGAAAAAAGCCTGATTAATATGAGGAGCTGATGCTTTGATCAGATGAGACCAAGATGAGTTTGTTCAGCTCAGACCGGGTTCAGTATGTTTGGCACCAACCCGGGCAGGACCACCACAGTGGACGTACAGCTCCAACAGCGAGGCACCGAGGTGGGAGTGTGTTGATCAGCGCCTACACGAGTACCAAAGGTCTTTAGGAGATTGGCATTTATAGATGTCACCGTGAATGTCAAAATACTCCCACTCTCTCAAGAAGCTTGGCAACGCAGGAATATGCAGTCACGACAACGATCCAGAGCAAACTGCCAAAATCACAGAAGCCTGTAAGAGTTTGGACAGAAGAACAAAGTGAGAACCACAACCTGGGCCTGTCAGTTTAATGTCATAAATCTAAACTGTTGGTTTTCCATTTGACATGAAAGCCATCTGGTTAGTGTAAGGTGACAGAATGTAGAATTATTGGAACTGTAGGTGATAAAGCACAAGGTTTCTACTCACTTCTGTTGTTCACCGAAAGAAAAAGAGATGGAAGATGAACACTTGGAGCCAAACAATACAAAGTAAGATGGAAACAAAGCAGCTGAAAATGAAAGATAACAAGTGTAAACGTTTAATATCCGTCATGGAGTAAAGACAATCAGGAAATGTAGGGGAGAGAAGAAAACATGGGAGGAGATCGTGCAAGAGTGAGGAGAAAGGAAATGAGTAGAGAAGACAACCAATCATTCATGCCTGTCTTAGCCTACACACGGATTCTTTTCTCCTTCCACTTACTTAGTTATCGGGGTTATTTATACATTACTTTAGTGGAAGTCACACTTAGCAAAGAGTGAGAAACTGTGTGCAAAGACTTTAAAATGAACACAATGCTTAATGAAGCCAGCGACTAAAATAGAGGCGACAGATTCAGACGGGAGTTGGGAGTAGATCAGAGAAAATGAGGAAGGAAGCAAGAAAGACTTGGACTGATTGATAGTTTGGCTGCGCCGATGGCCTTTTCTCACCAGGAAATTCAAAAGCTGCAGGGGTGTTGATCGGCCGAGCCCAGACAAGAACACACAGCGAGAGAAAACACACTCTCATGTGTTGACCCACAAAAGTTATGTATACACACATACTAATGTGTTAAAGTTATAGGCTCTAAGATCTAAGTGTGTTCTAAAATAATACCACGAAGAGCTTTTATTTAGCAGTGAACTTAATATAAAGTACGCTCAGGTTTATTCTGATTTAAGTCACAAGCACTGTGCAAACACACAGATCTGTTTTTGTCACCCAGCTCCTGGGAAAAACAAACACAAGATTCATTCAGAACATGCTGTAGTTTGAACCCACATCCAGAGCAGTCCTGGATAAATAAACTGAAAGCAGCTAAAAACAATTTAAAGGACATCCTAAATACAGTACGTTCACTGTATAGCAACCACACATAAGAGTAAACAACATTTGAGCATGTTGGTGTTTAGCACTGTTCTTGTTTTGTTCTTTTTCTGGTTTTAAACCAAACATACGAGGCCGAGGCCACAGTGCATGTTACTGGGACACGAGGCTCGTCCAGTATGAGCTGCACCAGTTTTTTCTTAAACAACAATCCAACAAACAGGTTGAAAACTCAGCCAGCCTTAATGCCAGAAACTCTGTGAGGCAGCCGATGCTTGTTCCTGTATCGTGTGTGATGCTGTGCAGCGTTCTTTAATGCAGTGTTTTCTGTGATGGACTCAATGTGACGCCAACACCAGGCTTCACAGCGCTTGTGTTTCTGTCCACAGTCTATCTCAGGTGTGCAGCAGGAGGTGACTCGTCAGTCTCAGGCCTTCCTGTCCTTTGAGCGGATGCCAGAAATTCAGCTCAGCCGGCGGCACTCGGACCACACCAAGCCTTGGCTGTGGTTCGCCACCGTCAAGTCTCTGATTGGGAAGGGAGTGATGCTCGCCGTGATCCAAGGCCGCGTGGTGACCAACGCTCTGAACATTGCCAACGAGGACTGCATCAAAGTGGCTGCAGTCCTAAACAATGCCTTCTACCTGGAAGACCTGCACTTCACAGTGGAGGGACGAGACACTCACTACTTCATCAAAACCAGCCTGCCTGAGAACGACCTCAGCGCCCTGCGGCTCACCTCCGGCAGGAAGTCGCTGGAGAACGGGGTGAACGTCACCGTGTCCCAGTCCACCACGGTGATGAACGGGAGGACGCGGCGGTTCGCTGACGTGGAGCTGCAGCACGGCGCCCTGGCACTCCACGTACGTTACGGGACGACGTTGGACGAAGAGAAAGCGCGAATCCTGGAACACGCCAGGCAGAGGGCGCTGTCGAGCGCCTGGGCCCGCGAACAGCAGCGGGTGAGGGACGGAGAAGAAGGAGTACGGCTGTGGACGGAGGGAGAGAAAAGGCAGCTGCTGAGCAGCGGCAAGGTTCTGGGTTATGACGGTTACTATGTGTTGTCCATAGAGCAGTACCCGGAGCTGGCCGACAGCGCCAACAACATCCAGTTCCTGCGCCAGAGCGAGATAGGGAGGAGGTAACAGGGCATCAACAGGGGCAACTGACAACACGCTCGGGCTGTCAAAGACTAACTACTAGTTCAACACAAAATGGATGTCACAGGCTGAGCTGTCAGAAGACTGAGAAACTATCCAGTGAAGAGACCCCACGTCTAAAAATTAGTTCTGATGAGGTTGTTTAGTAGGATTTCTAGACTGATCGATGACGTAACAATCACTCCAACACAACTGAGCTGAAACACGATAAAACTACAGTTGTGAGGTCTTCACGAGCCTGTAGAGGTTCTTCTGACCAATGCCTTTTCTCTTTCTGTTTCTATCTGTTGTCTCTCTCTCTCTCTCTCTCTCTCTCTCTCTCTCTCTCTCTCTCTCCCTGTAGTCTGCCTTCAAACAGCCTGCATGCCCCTCCCCCTCTCTCTGGTAGGCGGGGCTAACCTGACTGCTATCTTTGTGTGCTATCTAGCTGTCAAACAGTGGGATGTAGAGACTTCTTCAAATAGCCAACTGAGCATTTCAGCAGCCATCACAACTAGATGAGCCCTCAAGCATTTAAAAAGCTGTAAACTGTCCGTGCAGTCAACATAACAAATGTCTGTGCATCCCTAACAGATGTTGCAAGTATCGTATCTCTGTGGGTCCAGATGTGACCCGTCGCTCTGGGTTCTAGACCTCTATGAGCCATGTCTATAGGATGTTTTGTTTCCATGGCCCAAGCCATTGAATGGAACTGTTGTGGACTCTCTCTAAGAGAGACAGGCACAAAAAAAGGACAACAATTTGTACGAAGGGAAAAAAAAAAAAAAAAGACTGATTTCCTGTTTGGATTTTTTTTGGTTTTGTTTTTATATATAAACTTGCTTTTGCTTTAGACAAAAAAGGGGATATAAAAATGAGCAAAAAAGTGTTTACATACTATTACATACTATTACCACTATTACTACTATAACGACACCACCACCACCACCACCACCACCGCCAACGGGATGGACCATGATCTGAACTAAACGAAACCAAACTTTCAGTTGTGTTTTTGTTTTGTTTCTTACCGATACCTACGATCTGTTTGGCCAGTTCTAAAACCACTCCTCCTCCTCATCCCCTGTGCTTTTTACAAGGTCCACAAACTCATCCAGACCACAGTCTAACAGCAGCGTGCGAGGAAGCAGGGCGAGCGCAGGGCCACGGCCGGTGCCCGACTCTACGTGGATGTACTCTTTGTGGATCGAGTGGGCTCACTGGTCCTGTAGAACGCTGGTCCCCCAGCAGCCCAGGAGTCCTTCACTTCTGCATAATGTGACTCATAATGCATAGACCTTGTGCTTTAATCGGTCAAAGGTAGTAGTATTGCTTGCAATAGAAACATGTTGTCATGGCTTTGGGGGGGGCAGGGTTGCTGTGAGTAGTAACTACTTGTTGCTTCTCTCTTCGTTTTTGCTCGTTTCTCCTTTAAGAGACAGTGCATCGCCATCAGTGACATTAATGAATAACAGTAATAGATCAAAAATCGATGTGGATGTTTTCTCATTGATTGTGGGGGTCTGTACTCTTTTAGAGTTTTTTGTGTGTATGTGTGTTTACAAAGGGTTGGAAGGCAACTTTAATCATTTTAAAAAGAGAGCGCGCGGGAACTTTACACGGAGGGTTAACATCATATGCTACCAATCTTTCTGTTTTTTTTCCAGAGACTATTAAGACGAGTTGACAATGTTTTATGGGTTTATCTTTTTTTATTTTGAACGTTGAGAAATTCCACTTATCCGTACATCAATATTAGTCTCAGAGAAAGTAATTTATGTACAGTGTTTCTACGGTAAAGAATAAAAATCCTTGAAACTAGTGTTATTTACTGTGTCGCCTTTTCTCTCCACTCTGAAAGACGAACGGCGGCGAGGAGCAGCTCGTCATGATGTGATTAATGATTATGTTTAGTGAGTATGATGTCGTTGTGCACCACACTGCAGGTGTTGTGTGTGCTGTAGCTCGCTGTAGCTACCAGCAGCTCATCAGATGAAGACTTCTCAGCGTATTGAACAGTCCTCTGTTAACGGTTAGACGAGTGGTTCCTGAAGCGTTTGCCTTGCGACCATGTGCACCACGACGTTGTTTCCAGTCTGGTCACTTTTCCATCCAAATAACAATAGTTCTTCAAAAAAAGAAAAGTTCAAAAAAGACCATTAGAAGCCAATGAAACAGGACTTTTTCTTTCTTTCTTTCCCATCCAGTGAAGCACCAGGACCTGTCAGAACCATTCAACCGACCCTCTGATCTGTACACATGTAAAGTAGGTCAGACTAACTCCACCTTGACCAGCTACAGCAATTATGTACTACTTGATAATAAAATAGTCACAGAGGCCATTCTTTGCTTATAACACCCACAAGTACATTTTAATTCCATTTTTGTGCTTAGAAGAAGTAGAATTTGGATTTAATGGAGTGTTACTACATTGCGCTGGTACTTTCACAGAAGCAAAGGATCTGAATACTTAAGTAGATGTTTTTAGCCAGTTTTTGCTCTTTGAAAGCTGAAACTGAATCCTGGCATTCTGCAAATAGTGAAGCTGAGGAAAAGCTCCATCAGTGTGTTTGTTGCACTTCAACACAGCAGCAGACTCTCTGACACTGAGCTGAAATGAAGCAAGTGGACATAAATAACATGGACAGAAGAGG